TCTCAAATTGGCCATGGGGCCATCCTACATGCAAAATTTCGTGAATTTTTATGTGGCCTGTATTTTGCATCTTATAATGGGCAGACGGACAGACTGGCATGCACACATGTCAGATCGACTCAGCTAGTCGACACATGAACCTATTGAAGGTGGGTCTAGATCAATATTTCGCGGCGTTACAAACTCTTGGCACACTGCACAAAGCTATAATACCCTGACAACATAGTTGTGTAGGGTATTAATATACGCACAGCTTATGTATTCACAAGAAAACAAACTCGATAAAAAAACTCAAGGCTCTCTCTTGTTCCTTTTAAAGGTGTTATGCACTATCGAATACATTATTCATACTCGCGAAAAAAGTGTAAATTCATCATCATTAATACCCAGTCATCCATATGACTGCTTTCCATTTTCATGCCAGAATTGTCGCGCTATGCCTGCGTTACTGTTGCATCGTAATAAAAAAAAACCGACAAAACAAAAAAAATCGAGAATGAAAACATCTCTGAATAACGTATTTCTTGACAGAGTAGATCAATGTACATTTCGAAGTAAAGCGATGAAGAAGAAAACAAATAATAACAAGAACAGCGGCAAAAAAGTAAACTGAAAACAAATAACCTCTCAAATTGGAATGGGGCAAAAATCCAATTAGCGTGAATTTTTATTACGTATTTTGCATCTTCAAGCTGCTGCCTGACTGGCATGCCACCAAGCCAGTCTGCTCGACACATGAACCTATTGATAGATTACGGAAGAATTTGGCACATGACAAACGCATATGAATGCTCTGCAAGGATATGTCCTTAGTACGGAAGGTAAGGGAGTACAGTATTTTGGAGACTGAGAAAAATGTTTTGATGATTTTTTTGAAAGAAATTAATAACGAGTAAGCGAATGTGTATAGAGGGATTGGATCGATCGTGTGACACCATACACAACAATCACTGGACATTCGTTGTTTCCACTCTGTAGTGCAGACGCAGGCATTTCGTTGCACGCTTGCTCTTCGCGAAGCAACTGAAAAAAAATGATTAATATGACATCACTAAACATAATTAAGATATGCAGATCCCTGTAAATATTTTAGTATGGCTCAATATCTATACTAATAAAAGAGTTAAACGATTGAATCAATTAACGATAGAATATTGGGTGAGCAGATAAAGCTGAAATCCTGAATATGATATGTAGGAAGTTTTGGAAATCCCTACTAATTGTACCATATTTTGATTTGGGAGAACCGATAAGGCTGCAACCTGAAATTGGGAAATAAGATTTTTATTGGATGTATGATATAGGTGGTTTTGGAAATTCGTACTAATGTGTACTAAATTGTACTCAATTTGGTATAATTTGTGTTTAGGTGACCCCATAGAGATGGAATCCTGAAGTTTGGAATTAAGATGGAGTGTAGGATATACACAAGGCCACCTGTATTTCTCCTGATCAAATAACGAGAAATCTATCAAATTGTGATAGTTGAAAGGCATTCATCCAGTCTTTTAGACGTTCGATCGATCCGAGGAGAGAGTATCGATTCGGACAATTATTTTGTAGCAGCCAAGGTTCGCACTCGTCCTTATGTAGCAGCAAATGTGATATCTAACACAACACGGAAACGTCGAAAAGCTGCAAACACAGCAGATGTACAGGGGTCGGAATTAACTCCAAAAATGTTACTTAAGAGTAACACATGACGCTATAATTTGTACCGTCATTTCTTATTGGTTTCAATTGTATACCACCTAGCAAAGATGATGTCAGAATATCAATAAATCGGATAAAGAATTATAAAAAAATATTTCGGCTGATAACCCATCGGCAACCAGCCGAACTATTCCAGACCGGTGGTCAGATGCAGTTCAGGAGCATGTACCAACTGATTAGTACAAGTTGGCTAGTTGAATGTATTCCGAATGATTGAAATCTCAGACGATATGAGCCAACTATAGAGGAATTAGTCTTCTTCCCATCAAGAACATTATTGGACCAGGCCTGGCAAATCCAGCATTGACCAGATTTTCAGTATGTCTCAAAATCCTGTAAAAAACCGACGAAAAAACACATCCGCACATTCCACCTATTCGTCGACTACAAAGCCGCATTCGACAGCCATATCCGTTCAGAGGTTTTTAAAGGCATGTCTGCGTTCGCCATTTCTACAAAATTAATACCGATATGCAAGATAAATTTAACTTGCACAAGGTATAATTTGTAGTCATTTCTTAGGACCTCTTGTAAGCCCTTTAATACGAGGAAATGTGGGTCAGCATATCAATCAGGTAAAGAATAATAATATGGTAAAATCAACGCGCAAGACATCCAGTAGACTAGGACCAACTGTGGAACTTGAAAATAACAGCATCGACGTAGTAAACGATTTTATATACCTCAGTAACGCCATAAACAAAACTAATAACATCAGCTTTGAAATCCGGAGAAGAATGGTGTTGGCCAACAGATACTAATATGATCTGAGTAAGGAATTTAAGAATAATGCCACCTCTCGCCAGACCAAACGCACACTCTACAAGACGCTGATACTAACCGTGTTGTTGTATGGATCAGAAGCATGGATACTTTCGCAGGCAGATGAGGCAGCTCTTGAAGTGTCTGAGAGAAAACTTCTCCGAAAGATCTATGGGCCGATTTGTGTCGACGGTGAATATCGCCTTCGAATGAACCCTGACTTGTACTATATATTCTCGAACATCGACATAGTCAAACGTATCGAGCTGCATCCACTACGCTGTCTAGGTCACGTTGTGAGAATGGATGACGATGCCCCAACTCAAAAGGCATACGAAAGCGACCCTACTGATGGTTCACGCAGAAGGGAATGGCCTCGAATTCGAAGTAAAGATCAAGTGGAGGAAGATATATATCAAAGCATGGTATTTCAAATTAGAAAAAAACTGCTCACAATGTCGACGTGCATGGAAATATTTTTTTAAGTTCGGCTTCCATATATATATATATATTAGGTCGGATAAAAAGAAATCCATTATTTTTATATAACTATAGACCTTTATTTAACATGCTTCGGAATATCCGATTTTGATATGCACCGTTTTATTGTATGATTTGTTGCCATTTCAAAGTAAACCTCTTAAGACCTCTCTCATAGATGTTCTGCTCTCTATTTGCAAAAAACTGTAGTAGTCGATTTTAACAATCCTCCCTAGATACCAATTTTATATTATTACAGAAATTTTGCAATGCAAGAAAAAAATGATATTCGCTTGGTGCCAAGTCCAAACTGTGTGGCGGGTGCATTAAATCTTCCCAACCAAGCTCCCGCAGTTTCTGGCGAGTCAATGTAGATGTGTGTGGCCTAGCGTTGACCTAATAGAAACGACACCTATCATGCTGACCAATTTTGGCCGTTTCTGGTCAATTATAAATGGTTTAAAACAGTTTTATGGTAATTTTTTAGCTTCTGGGCTCCTGGACTCCTGGACAACTTCGATCATTTCTCCGATTTTATTGACATTTTCGACGACCGGCTTACCTATGCGAGGTGCATCTTAAGTGCTATGGTATGGTGCTTCGTTCCCAATGAAAATGGCCCTCCTAGTTCGAACTTCCAAAAACAACGGTTAATGCAATTTCAAGATTCGTCTATGTAAATTGAAGACCTTCCGTCGGAAGCCATGAAATTTTAAATTATAAGTTGTTCAATCAAAAGATGAGACTAGGGCCTTCTAACTACTTACAACGTATCTTGGTCCCTTAATTGAGGTTATGCCATATCATTGAACTAATGCGGCGCGATATTTTTATCCTTTGTGGAGCCGAAGTAGTAAATTGCTGTTTCAATCATGAAAACAAATCCGTAGACAAGTGTGACTAAATTAATAATTCAAATTTCTTCCATTGTTCACATAGCCCCGAATTAATATGTATAACACGCTTCATTATTCAAACTGCTTATATATTGAATGTAAACTTGTTCAACATAAGTTTTGCATATTTTTCTCCATTATAGTAATTTGAAATAAATACCATATTGACTTCACTGTATTAATTATAACTATTGAATTGTATTTACAAAAACAATTGTCATTATACAAAGTTTTCAAAATACTGTGCCAAATAGCTTTATGAAACCAAACAAAAAATCCCACCCCATGACGAAGTGAAAATTGAGATGATGACTACGAATCTGAAGGATGAAGAAGAAAACTGTCTGTAATCATTTCACTTCGAATCAGCATACATATTTCCGAAATGAAACGGTGTATGTAATTGAAGGTCAAGCGTGTGTGTGTGTATGCAGTAGTACATAGATTTGTAACAGTAAATAATAAACAGTGAAGGAAATCATGCCAAGGGAAGGAAATCTGAAGGAAATGGAAAACAGGCATGCAGTTTGTAATTGTAGATGATTGTGAATATTAAATTGTAAGGGAAACTTAATATTTAAGACATTAAAGTAACTCTTGGACGACACTTTAATAACAATTTTAACACTATAAATATATATATATATATATATATATAGCAAAAATTTAAAATATGAGAAGTAAATATTTTTAAAGTAACCATTGAAAATCTGTGACTAAAATGGCCAAAATTGCTGATTATTTAAAACTTTTATTTGCATTTTTGTATGACTACTACAAAATCTCTAAACATATTTGAGTGTTTGCTTGTATAAGTCCTCCAACACATGGTGTGTTGATCTCACGCTGCATTCTGTTGAAAATGTAAATATTTCACATTTAAATGTAAATCAAATTTCGAAAAAATACATTCCAACTAAACCGAACAAAACAACTGGATGTGAAACCCAAAAACTGAAAAGTGTCACATTCTGTTACAGGGAATGATTGAAAAGCAAATACACAACATAACGAACAACAAACAAAACTACACATATAAATAAATTCACTTAAACTCTTGAAAATAACAACTATTGCTGCAACAGCAAACACCAACACACAGTTCCTTTCTATTAATCCACTTTTCGGGTTTTGTTTCGCTTTTTTCAGGTTACCAGCTTTACCACCGCCAACAAAAAAGGTACCATACCAATGCCATCCTCGAGTGCGGGGGCACTGCAAAAACACCAACAACACCAAATAGCCACCATTGAAACACCACCGAACAGTGCGGGAGCACTGCCAATGCAAATACCCACAGTTACCTGCGATTTAGCCTCAGACATTTCCACCTCCGAGGCGGCCGATATGGAACCCCATCCGCTAATGTATCCCAGTGCGGGCGCTGGCAGTGCTGAGACAGCCGCAGCAGCGCTGGGCACATCTGTACATAGCATAGAAACAACAATAACAACGACGACAAACAATTCAACACCCAATTGTAAAGACTCAGCGGCCTCGTTAAGGGTGAGTACAATAGCAACGGGCCATGGGGCCCTTAATGTACCCGTACCGCCTTCAATGGCGGGCAACAATAACGGCAGTACGGCAGCCCTTAACAACAACAATAATGGCACCCTGCCCAGCACAGCGTCTTCGACAGCGACACTGACAGCCACCACGACGCTACTAAATACAAAGCCAACAACGACATTATCCACAACTACCACCACAAATGAACTGAAAGTCTCACCCATTGCCGGGCGATGTCGTGCCCTTTCGGTGGGCATCGACACCGATATGGTAAGTGAATTTGATCCATCAAGTTCCGATTCGGGTGTGGTAAGTCGTTGTGCTGTGGTCAAACCGCTAAAATTTCGTTTATGTCAGCCTATTTTTGGTCGCAAATCCAATAATAGACGGCAGAACGAAGGCAAGGCGGCAGCGGGGGCCAAGGCCGATGGTGGCGGTACTGCATCAACAACGACATCTTCCAAGGCGGAAATTGTAAAAGCCGAACTGGAACCTGCCATACCCAAGGTACAGAAACCCCGCGATCCCGAAAAAGAAAAACGACGAATAGCCCGTAAGAAAGAGAAACGGGCCACCCTAATTCTCGGTCTGATTATGGGCTCGTTCATTGCCTGCTGGCTGCCCTTCTTCTTCCTGTACATACTGGTGCCAGCGTGTAGCAACCATTGTCACATACCCGAATCGGCCTTTGCCATTGCCTTCTGGCTGGGGTATATGAACTCGGCCCTGAATCCGGCCATTTATACCATTTTCAATAAGGACTTCCGGCGGGCATTTCGACGCATACTATTCAAGTGATGTTTGGCCTATGTGTGCTGTTATCGGTGCGTTCATGCCAGTATCGAAAAGGCAACGGAACGTGCTATGGGCAGCACACCCATGGGTTACAATATGTATCATTATCGACGTTAGATTTGGTTATTTGCTTAAGTTTCGAAATAGTTTTTGTTTCGTTTCGAATAGAACCATAATCATTTTGACTGTGGTCATAGGTTTCGTGTAAAATATTTGAAAAATGTAACGCCCAATCAAACCATAAATCATAAAAATAAGAACAAAAAAACCAACATTTTAAATTGCAACTCAAAACACCAATAAATCAAAATCAACGTAATCCAATACAGTTAACTCATCACTTTTGTAGCCAAAAACATAGCAAAATACAAAAGACATGATAAAAAAGACGACGACGAAATCACAAAAATAAATATTGAAAATAAACATCTTTTTAATCAGCCAACTAGACGAAATCCATCAATCAAAACAATCAATATTTGCTCTAAGCAAAATAAATTCAATGTCAAACTAGAGAAGAGAGAAGGAGAGATGTAACCGAAGATATGATGATGCAGAAGAAGAAGCCTTAAAGAATTAAATAGCTCACTGGAAACAAGTCATTGCACTTCAAGGCAACGGCTGGCGGCTTTTGACGGTTATTTGTAAGTCAAATTTTTATTTTTTTATTGTTTTTGATTTTTTTTATTTTTGTTTTATTTTCTTTTATGTTGATTCCCCAAAAAACGAAAAGCTCATTTTAAAAGCATTAAAAGGCTGTGAAATATATTCAATATATATTTGTATTTTAATTCGGCGGTTTTTTTGTAAATATTTTTAGTTACTTTTGCAGATTTTTTTCGTTTTATGCTGAAGTTGGGACATTACTAAACAATACAAAAATAAGAACATTTATTTCATATTTCAAAAACTTAATATATTTATTTTTAATTCATAAACTGATTTTTAATTCGTGATAACTTAAATATTAAAATTGCCATTTTTTTAATTTTATTATCAAATTGGAATAACACTTCAAACAATAATTTCTCTAAAATTTAAATTATTCACATTTTTATTGTGGTTTTACGTATATAAGTGTTAAATATCGGGTCCACACAAGTTCTAGTTACAATGTTAATGAATTATCAATTATGCGGCGGTGTCACTAAACCTGTGATTTCATTATCCCAGATAACGCCAGTGCTTTTACATTAACCCTTTTTTACAGTTGCAGAAACATTGAAACACATGTTAAGTTCGCTCCCAGTTGATTTTTATTGTCAGGTTCAGATTTAGATATAGCTCCCATATATATTTTCGCCCGATTTAATGTAAATGGTGTACCAAAGTCCCTATATATATTTTGATTTGCACAAAATTTGGCATAGCGTACTGAATTAAGTCTAGAATGATGTGTGCTAAGTTTCGGTTCAGATTTAGATATATCTCCTATATATTTTCTTCTGATTTCATATAAATTGTGCACTAAAGACCCAAAGTTTGTCCGATTGCCACACAATTTTGTACAATGAATATGAATTAATATGAATTAATCTCTGGCAAGTCTCGTTGAAATCGGTTCAGCTTTACATATATATTCTACATATACATTTTCGTCAGATTTGACACAATATTTTGCACAACGTACTGAACTACACGGATGGCTCTCGACTAGGAGGAAAAACTGGACTGGGACTTTTTATCGAAGAACCGGGTACCGAAATTTCTCTTCGTCTCACAGATCACAGTGCGATCTTACAGGCAGAGGTTCATGCTATAACAGAGTGTCTTAACTGGTAAATTTCAAACCAAAGACAAATACAGTAAATATTATTACGGACAGCAAGCAAGCTATAAAGGCAAAATCTTCCAGAACAGTAAAATCCAAAGCTGTACTGGAATGTATAAATACCATTATTACGGACAGCAAGCAAGGTATAAAGGCAAAATCTTCCAGAACAGTTAAATCCAAAACTGTACTGGAATGTATAAATACCATTAATGATTTCTCACAAGAAGGACCTTTACGAATTATATGGGTACCGGGTCACCAATGAATCATAGGCAACGAGATAGCAAATCAACTATCCAGGAGTGCCATTGCACTACCCACAATAGAGGTGTATACCGCCAAACCCTTTAGCGAAACACGCCTAGAAATGAAGGAATGGCTGACGGGTGTTCTGACGGGACAACTGGGCCTGAAGGCACATCTACTCAAGATTGGGAATCAAACCCAAATGTTTTCCTTATAATACACTTTCACTAATTCTTGATTTGTACTTTCTCCGCACATCTAGAGCGCACAACAGGCCTCATATGGCTTTTCAACCCAACCTAACCTAACCTACTGAACTTAGTATAACCTACATGTTAGATATAAATGCTGCAAAATTTTGCACAAACTACTGAAGTTACTATAATATAACGTGTGGCAAGTTTTGTTGAAATCAGTTCAGATTTAAATATAGTTCATATATATCTTCTTCCGATTTTAAGTAAGAGGTGTACCAAAGACCCAATGTTAAGCCGTTTGCCATAAAATATTGAACAACGTACTGAATTTAGTATTGCATAATGTTTGCCAAGTTTTGTAGGGATAGGTTCCGATTTAGATGTAGCTCCAAGGTCCCAAAGTTAGGCCGATTTAGATTTGAAATTTAGATGAAATCGGTTTAGATTTCGATATAGCTTTCATATATATTTTCGTCCGATTGAAAGTAAATAATGCACCAAACTCCTAATGTTTATCAAATATTTATCCAAATAACCAACGGGTGTCCGATTAATATTTGATTTAAGGGAACCCCCCCATTAATTTTTCAAGATTTTTAATGGACTGGTAAATCAATATCAATACTTGTTAAGCTTTGTAACTTTGGACATATATATTTGAATATTTAAAAATGAAGAAAAATAATTTACAAAAATATGTTGTTGTTGTTTTTTGTGATTTAAGAGAAGTCCTTATTTTTGATGGCGGAACATCGGAATCCGAAAATTACAACGGTGTTAGCAAGAGTACATGTCTGGCTCTCGTATGAACTAGGATTATTGACTTAGGATTCGGAATCGATTGGGTTATTAGTTTTTGAGTTATTGTGCCCGCCATTCGCAAAAGAGAAAAACGCGTTTAAAGTTTGAGAAGCCCTTTAGCCGTCATTTGATGCTGACACAATTAATCAGCTACATCTTCAAGAGTTCTTGAGATTTGCACTTGAAATTTTGTAGGGATATTCTTGAATTAGAGTTAAATGGATTTACATAATTTTGTCCCATTGTAAGAAACAACTCTATATTTGACCAAATGAAAAATTTAGTATAGGTTGCAGAATAACATGTTTATGGATCCAATTTCATTTTACTGGTCCTTCAAAAATACGACGACTGTTGGGAGGGTATCATATAGTCGGTACCGTCCTACTTTACTACATATTACTCTTCATTTTCGGGAGACAGACTTTTTTAAATTAATTTTTTCCAACGCAATGTCATTTATTTTTAGTTCCTTTTTTACACGATAAAGACTACTTATCCCAAATAAATGCGTAATTATGGTAGAGACAGTAAAAAAGTTTGTGCCAGTCAAATTTGGCTACGTCTTCAGTAGTTATTAATCTAAAAAAAAACAAATATTCCGGTTTTAACATTATTGACAAGTAAATGTTAAAATGCCTACAATAAGGTTCATCTCTTCTCCCAAAGCAAAAGTGATTATTTTTCTCGATGAATTATTTTTCTCTGATTACAATTTATAAGGTGCTCATCGATGATTATATACAAATTATTTGTCCAGAAATTAAATTTGTAAGTGTTAAAAATTCGAAGACAAACGTAATTTATAACCAGAGTTACGGAGTCGAGCTACTGTTTGACATCGTATCCAAAACTGGTATATTTTTGTTTTCCTGCACTCTATTTAATAATCCTTTTTTTTAAAACCTTGCCGTTTTTTGAAATTTCTTTATATAAAAGTTATTTTTCAATGTTCATTGATAACATGTCCCGAGATCGATTAGTATCATACTTCAACTCGACCAAAATTGATCTTTCAAAGTCTTTGACTAAAAATTATATATAATAAACTTGTTAAAAAAGTCGAAGAAGTATATGAAATTTAATAAATTATTTACTTAAGTATATTCCCAGAAAAATTATATATTTTTCCGAAATCGTATTTCAAATCCTTGACAAAAGATTAGGTTTTGTTGTTCACGTTTAAAGTAAAATTTAATTTAAAGCCTCAATGTATTAAATGTTACTTTATTTAATAAATACCATCAATGAAAAACAATTGACGACGGATTAGCGAAAAATGTGAAAAAAGTAACAAATTTCCATAGTGTGCTAATGTCAAACATCCTGTTATATACAATGTGAATATTTCTGATGATGCAATTTACTGTAATTTTTAACATTTAATCCATTGATGTTGCCGGTGGCAAGTGATAATAGCATTGACTGGTTTAATTTATTGTCACTATACAGTATATGCGAGGCCCAGTAGTGAAAATTGATATAAATCGTAAATAAGGCTGTAAAATAATACACTTTTGAAAATGACCAAAAAAGTTTCCTTTGTGAAAAAATTACTTTATATTAATATCCGAAAAAATACCTTTTTTTAATTTCACTCAAACGCTTCTCTCTTTTTTCTTTCTGTCCCATACATTATTCTGCAATTTTCATGTCTACTATTGACATTTCGGAAAATTGGATTCCAAAACACTTTGATGGCAACAATTAAATTTCAACAAAGTATCCTTTTACACTACTAGTTCCTTTTGTGTGTGTGTGTGTGAAAAAAGCGCATCCTTTTCTAAAATGCAGTCAATTGAAATTCAAACACTAAGCTGCAACTCAGCTAACAACCAACAAAAAAAAAACTTTTTTGCCCGCTTCCTTTATTTTAGCAATTTAGAAAAAATACAAACTAACAACAACAAAACGCCAGAGTTCACAAACAAACATTCAAAATAAATAAAAGTGTGAATTTCCTCTTGAAAGTGTTTTTGAATGACACTTTCACACCGAACAGCACTTTTGAAAAAAAGTACTGAAAAAATAACAAGCTTCCATGAAATGTTTGGAAAATTGCCCTTGCACGGATGGGAAAGCATGTGGAAAAAACGCAGCAACAAATACAACTT